GTGCAGATGTCTTAACCACTCGACCACCGAGCTTGCCGGGGTCGGCTGTTGGGTAAGGGCAAACCGTTATATATAATTAACATCTCCCCAACACAAAAATACATCTTGAAGAATCAAGTCAATTCACAAACGCGAAAGGTACGTAACTCGAAACTCTGAAAATGCCATAGAAAACAAAGACACGTCCGTAAACGATAGGCGCAGTGCATTGTGGGCAGCATGCACAATCAAGTCTTTTCAGCGAATTGTAATAGGCACATGGGAAATTTGCACATGTAGGCTGGGCAGGGGTATGTGAACGCAGGAGACCAAATTTATGTAGGAACAAGAGATGGGGTGTTCCAAAGGACAAAGATGGTCCTTTCAAGGGAACTCACTGCATACATGCACAGGTTTCTGAGTATTTTTGGCAGGGGCCACTGCATGAGCATGTGTAGCCAATTTCTGTTGAACTGAATGGTCTGTGTGTATGCACAATACACGTGAACAATGACAGTTGAATATTACTTTCCACCAACCTGTCTTCTTCTGTGCTAGTGAGGGAGTGCTTAAGATAAAGAAACTGACCAGGTGTTTACAAGATAATAATTACAGCAATAAAGAAATTCACTGGAGTAGAAAAATCAAAGGAGTGGGAGAAGAACTTAAATTTTTTTAGTTCACATAGACAATGCCAATCAACAACCTACTGCACTATACCAGTAATTAATGTTATGCTAGCTTGAGCATGTTCTGTGTGAGTGAACTGGCATATGGCTGTACTGATAGGATTGACCTCAAAGGTGTATGAATGGACCCAAATGAATTGCGAGATATTATATATCTTTCATGCACTCTTAGAATACAGGATGGGCTTATTACGAAAAAAAATGTCTGGGCTGCTACTGCTGTGCTAGCTTGAAAAGCTGCACTAGTGATCAAAACCTGATGACACAAGACTGTGTGAGTTTGCAGCATACAGCACGTTGAGGGTTGAGGCCAAGGCAGGTGGACTATAAGTGGCTGTCTGTGATAATTGCTATTAAAGTAATAATGGCAGGTGTCAGTCTTAAGAGGCACAAGATTTCAGCTTCAAGTTCTTTCCCCTTGTTTCTGCATCGATCAACTTCTTTACAAAATGGGGCCATCCAACACCAATCCCGTATGACTTCCCAAAAGAATTGTCTTGCTTACTTTAGCGCAAAGCAGAATGTCCAAGAAGTCGATGTATTTCCTGTGTCTTGTTTGCCCCTTGGCAGCCTCTTCTTTCAGTGCATTCTTTCGCTTCTGGATGATATCCCGCGAGTAGTTATGGACTGTATTGCAGGCTTTGTGGAAGCGTCGCCCACTGGGACTCCACTGGAAGATTGTGTCAAAGTGGAAAGGTAGGAAGCGAAAACGTTCCATAGCCAGGATGGAGATGTCATAGATGCCCTTGATGTAGGGGTGATTTTCAACCCTGAAACATGAAACACAAGAAAAAGTTTCAGGTGACAAGGGGGCACTGAACCTCACCCTGTGGTCCAGGTTTGGATTCTGACCTAGGCAAAAACAGTTTCAGTCATTGTCTATGGCACACAGCAACGACTGTGCCATTGCACTCAAGAGATATCTATACAAATGCACAGAACCTCTGGGTTAGCAGTTGGCGCTGACCGTCTCATTGTGTTCTGGGGATAATATTCTTGCTGCTTGTCTGTTCAAGACCACTTACGTTTGGCAGTTGGTCTCCACACTGAATATACACCTGAGGAGGCTGTCCAATGTCAGCAGGCTCATGTTACTGAACATCTCCATTGAAGTCTTCTTACCACCACAGGCTGCTTTCCACTTCTCCTGTGTTCATCAAAGCCAAGGGAAAAATAGTTGAGATGAGACCAAATTGATATTAATCTTGCCAGGCACATTAAAACATTGCATATTTTGACTGTCTTACATATAAAATGTAAATGTGTGCATGTTGTTAAGGAGTGGCATTATACGGCCACCATATCCCCTTTGTATGCTGTTGCTATGTGACCCAAAAATATTAAACCAGTGAAATTGCCAAAATATGATGGTGTGTGCATTTCATCCAGTGCTTATATGGAGACAATAATGTGTTATACACAATCCCGGTTACTTGTAGCAGGCTTACACCTCCGCTGGTGCAAAGTGGTTGAATATGTTGGCCAACTCACCACAAGTATGCTGCCAGACTGTTGAAAGATGTCCACATACGGCTTCAAAATGTCAAAGTGGAAGCCGGGTGTCAGTAAGCGTCTGTTCCTTGCCCATTTCTTCCCAGCTGATAAGAGTAGCCCATCTCCAATCCAGGGACGTATATAAGAGTATGTGAATTCTGCCTTGGGTTCTAAGATAAATAGAAACAGCAAAGCGATTCAAAAATGAACACTGAGCTTTTTAAAAGCCAAGGCTCAGCTCTGTGATCATTTACACTGTGCAGAAGTGTACACATGAACAGACATAAGTGATAAGGGTCATGACTTGATGACTTCCAATTCTGCCTATTCTGTAAATCAGATGGGTAAATTGTCTAACAATAACAGTTTCAGGCAGGCTTATTCTTGGCACTAAAGCAAACACGAAAGTGCAATGGTGATGTCCCATCAAACACTAAAGCTGCGCATTCCCCATATGCTGGAAATGATTCACGATGTCAAACTTGCTTGGCTTTTCACACTCGCCCGAAATGCGAAAAATGATCTCTAGTTGTATCACGATATATCTCTTCAAGCAATTACACCAAGAACCAATGTATTCAGCGTATGAAGTGCGAGCACGATTTTTCAGTTTGTTGTGTCCCACAATGACACATATTCAACTAATCAGGCCTAGCATCTGATGAAAAACATACAACCAACCTCCTGTGCTAAGGACAGCTTTGACCGTGTCAGGGTGGTACACGCTAATGATCGGCCTAATAGGTCCCACCCATAGTACAGATGCAGTGACACATCTCTTCACAACCTCCCTTTTCCACTCGAGTTCCTTCTCATCAGCAGTGAACTATGTATGACAAATGACCACAATTTACATAAACAAACAACAGTTCCAGTTGCATCTTGTAGCAAGGTGGCATCATACATGCCTGATTTTTGATACTGGAACACAATCGTAGATGGAACATGTTATCACAAGGAGTAAATGAACTGTCATTTACAATGTTGGTTGTGGCTTCTTGGAAACAAGAACTTTTCAGCATAATTCGAAGTTACTCAGCATATCTTTCACAAAACTCATTGCATAAATGAAAAAGTGACCCTAACCAATTTTTGTAAAGAGAATTTGTCGTATAAAAATTTCTTTCCACAGACAAAGTATACAAAGTATTCTCAGGCACATCTGATAATGGACCAACAGTATCACACATCTAAAATTTGGTGCCGATACTTAAGATAAGTACCATACACAAAGCTTGCCAAAATCTTACAATAGTAAACCCATTATAAAATTCATCAACACAAAACAAAATTCCATCAGTGGTCGTCTCTCATAATTGATGACATCATGTGTACTTTATGCATGCATGATATGCATGCACACCAACACTGAGGATAATACCTTAGAAAGACTGCCCAGGAACCAGTGCCTTTCGGGGTCTGTTGGAAATGCCGCAAACTGTCTCTCCAGCTTCCATTTTTGGATGAAGAGGACCACCAAGGCCACAATGCTGGACGTGATGCAAAGTGTGGCAACGGTTGCACAGAGATTCACTTCGGATTCACTGAAGGCCATTGTTACACAGAAATCAGCTGTCTCAACACAATACTGGTCTGCGTGAACCTGAAACAAGAATAGAAAATTGATTTCAGGCTGAGAAGCATTACCAAAAAGAGGCCCACTGCTGACAGCTTGACTACAGCACTGTGGCTCTCAACAAATTCTTGACAATACTACTCCTAAGTACTGTCCACATACATGTACAATTGTTACAAACATGGGTAAACAATTAAATTCATGTCCTTTACCTTCATTATGGTGTTTGATAGCATCGCCTAATTCAATAGTACAAATCTCTTGGCCAAAATACTTCACCTGTAAGCAGTTAACAGGCAATGGTTTGGCCACTTTTGTTTGTAAACGGTCAGTACATCTAACTGCTGAATATTAACTTCCTAATCTGTGATAGATTATTGCACCTTGCAAACGGAGGAATATTTAGAGTGGAAAAAGGGTGTTAAATGAGGTTCATTTCAGAAATTTCTGAAAAAATAGACACCCAAACTGTTTTCCGACGACGGTAAAGTGAAAAATGATGTTAGGATGCTAAATTCTCAAACCGTTTCCCTTCTACCTCGAACTATGAGACTCAAAGACTTACAAAATCATTTGCATAATAGTCAATCTGAATGATGTTTAATCCGGTGAGATTCCAAAAAAAATTTGGAATGGGTCACTTTATAGTGCTCACTATTTCTGAAAAGTTACATATAAAATACATACAGAAAAATAATACCTACATGTACCGGTAGTGAATGAAGCTGCAACCAATCTGCTGCCAAAATGATACAGTGCGTCAACACTGGGGAGCTGTGTTTTACTTGCTTTGTCTGGAGAGCTGTCCGCACTCATATTTATACTACAACGGCCAACTCCAAGGCCCCGACCTATGATCATGACTCAGGGCCAATTAAAGACAGAGATAATTTAAGTTTGCTGTCTACTGCCTGTATGCTTTCAAAGCCATTGCACCTGCCAAAGTTTGTTATCAACAAGTTTAAAAAATATTAACAAAATTTTTTTTTAAAGTGCTGCCAGGAGCTCTCAAATTTTTAATCCATGGTGCAAAAGCAGTCTGATGGAGGAAAAACGGGGGAAGTAGTGGGGGGAGGGGACGTGTTGCCAATTGTTTTAAAGAGGAATTAATTTTTTAACACTACAGAAGTGCCACTACCACCCTTCTATGAGGGGAAGGTGATTGGGTTTCCTCTGGTTGGGAAAATGGCCCAGCTACATTTTACGGATCTTTTCATATATAACCATCTCCTACAGAATAACAGTTAAAGTCTGTTATAGAGCAACCAGGGTGGTGTGCCCCTTTATTAAAGGAGTAGCCTTTCATGGTTCATGGTCAAAGGTTCATGCCATTAACTAGGTTAAAGTGTAACTCCAGAGCTTGTAAACAAATGACCGAAGGCCCGATGACCTATGGCAACACACTTAAAAGAATTTTTCAAAATGTCAAGACATATTTGAGGACGCAAAGTTTAGGCTGTGGCTGTTATCATGCACTGCTGCCAAAAGTGTCGATATTTCTTTTTGGCGCTTGATATTTATGCAGCTGTCGGATACATGACTACCTATGGCAAATGACTTGAATGCCATGATGCCATGGATGCATTTAGCTTATCGCAGACATCATAGCTGTGAAACTGTCTTGCTTCATATTTACATATTTGCACATTTGACTGTGGTCAAGAAGTAATCTTACTGCTATGGGATTAGTCAGCAGCCTTTGATACAATTTGCCATGACATTCTATTCGAGCGACTTGAGAAAAGGTTTCTTAGACAAGGCACTAGATTCATAGTCAATCAGTTATTGTTGGAGATCACATATCAACCAGTTTTTCTCTTAAATGAGGTGTCCCTCATGGATCGGCAAGAGGACCCACTTTATTCAACTTGTATTCTTCATCACTGGAGGACATCATGCCACATATGCAGATGACACCAAGTTATGTGCTATTCTGGAACGTGATCACTCCAATGTCATTTGCAAACCTATAAAAGCCTGCTTGAATGGCATCAAGGCATGTTCATTGGCAAATGGACTGAAACTGAACGAGGAAAAGACTGAAATGCTTCACATATCATCCTGTTTCAGAAATAAAACCAATCTTCTACTCATCATCTAAGATAATTCATCTATTCATCCAGTTGAAAGAGTTTGGAACCTTGGGTTAGCCCAGATCAACATCTTACTATATTGGCGACCACATCAATAATGTATGCCGTGCCCCTCATTTTATCGGTTTACACAAAATAAAGACATATACACAATTTTTGCATCAACCTACAACAGACAGATTGATCCATGTGTTTGTGAAAAGTCGCATAGACAACTACAACAGCCTTCTCAATGGATTGCCAGATCTTCAACTCAATAAACATCAAATGTTACACATATATACTACATATATTATGTAGTCAACACTATCACAAGACCAGACACAAGACCATGCACAAGACCAGGGTGAATAATGACAAAGGAATACTTTTGTCACAGTTCATTTGAATGGCATGTGGCTTAATTAAGACTAGGGGTCTTGTGTTGGTCTTGTATGACCTTGTGAAGGTCGTAAGTGGTCTTGACTTCAGCACTTCTAGGATGATCATTAGAACACACTTACATGAACCTATCTCTCCTGTTTCACGACAGCTTCATTGGCTACCACTTAAATTCCGGATAACTTTAAAAATTTTGGTCTTAATTTTCAAATGCATACATGAAACGGCAAAAGTTTATCTCCAGGAGTTACTCAGCAAATAGAGGGATCGCTTTTAGCGTCGATCTGCGCACTTCCGCATTTGAAAACGAGGCTGTATGTGTCAGCTTCAATTCTTAATACGATCAGACACTTGAAAGTAAGGAGTCAAGACACAAAATACATAAAGGTATGTTAAATTCAGACTGTTCAGGCTGAAAATGTTTGTGGAAGAGTCTTTTAGGAACACTCAACACCTAAAATCCCAAAGAAAAATAGCGACAGTTGACCGCGAACTAACATACCTGCGATGGTCGTGCGTCTTGTACAGTGGGCATGGTTTAAACTGAAGTGGCATCACACTTACGAACCGGATACTCCATGTACTGTGTGGACTCTGCGGGCGTGCGCGACGAGGTTCAACACAGAGAGCCTCCGTTTCGATGCAGATATGCGCAGACGGCGCTAATGTTAGCTTCCTCTATATCATCCGCCAAGGACTCTTCACTCAAGCAACAATGATCTCACTTGACATTCAGTTCTTACCAAATCATATGGTCAACGGGCCTTCCAATTCACTGCACTGGAACTATGGAAATATCTCCCACAGCACACAAAAACCTGTCCCTCCTTTGAACAATTTAAACTTCGACTGGAAACACACCTGTTCACTCTCTCCAGTGCATAGAGACTTATTGTACATGTATAATGTTCTTCATAAAAATTATTTATTTTTCTTAAATTTTTTGTTCTCGGACATCAAACATTGCATGATTACATTAAAAAAGAATTCTTTAATGGACCCGGTGTTGGAGTAACACCTTTGGTCCTCACACCAAGACTATATCAAAGGTCAAGGCTCTGACCCTCAAGGCCAAGGCTTTGACCATCAAGCCTCAAGGCTAAGCCCAAGGCTTAACCCTTATGAGAAAGGCTAAGACCAAGGCCAAGGCCCTCTTATAAAATGTAAGTTGAAGCCAGGATCCCCTGTAAAAAAAGCCAAAGTCAATCTAAATAATGAGATTGTTGTTTGGCTCTCAAATACTGTACAGGCTTGGAATGTTATCTTTTCAAAGTAAAGACTTTAAGTGAATAATGATGCACTGTGAATATAACTTCAATTGAGGCTTCAGCTTTTTCCTTTTGTAAAGTGGGATTACCACTGCAATCAAAATGTGACATGTTTGTTCATGCCATTTAACACTAGAGGCCAATAGAATGAGGAGACTGAAGTGAATAGGGCTCTGTTGTTATACGTTTAAACCTGTCTAATATTCCATCAACAAATAAAATCCTGAAAAAGTGCAAAGCCATTAATGCATGTTTAAGATTACATGGTTAAGGTTAAAACCTTTTTGCAAACTAACTGAAAAGCACAAGAAAGAAAGTGCATGGTGTACATGTAGTATCCCCAAGACAAGTGTGTAATAAAAACACAAGCTGCCAGGAGATTTGCCTTGTGTATTCTGGATACAGCATAGGGAGCCCCTTGCACACACCCGCGGGGCTATGGCTTGAAAAGAAAGAGAAAAAGGATGACGATTATGATGATCAAAAAGCCACAAGAACTTTCAAAAAATGTATCGCACACTAAACCCATTACAGAGATCACTTGGCTCAGTAAGCAGTAGCTCCTTACAATTCCAAAGTTCCTGATACCACAACCACCACCACCAGGGAAATGATTGACATTAAAGTGGCAGACCACCCTGAAATGGTAAAAATTGAAGGTCTGTGAATGATTACAAGATTATAAATTTCAAATATCTGGGCCACATAATCATGACTAAGTTTTCCTTAATTTTTTATTTTTTTTAATTTCAGCCTTGAAGAAATGAATTTTAGAACAAATGTCAGGGGTACAGTTCATACTGTGAACTAGGTAAAAGTGTAATTCTATTGTATGTAAACAGACACCGGCAGGCCTGATGACCTTTGGGAACACATATGAAGGAATATCTGTCAATGCCAAAATGTGTACACAAATTCTGGTGATGCAAGGTTTGAATTGTGACTGTTACCACTGCTGCCAAGGGCAGTCACTTGTTGACATTTGTTATCAAACTTTGACAGCCCGATCAGGTTAAGGAAAGAATTCTGTAGTGGACTACAATAATTTTCTAGCATGTCTTGAAAAAAATCTCCTGAAAAATTAAAAAGGAGTGGGTGTTAATTTGAAGGGTTTTTGTATAACAGGGGTTGAATGCCCATCTTCATTTCCCCCATGAGGAAGTGCTCCAGTCCAGGGTCTTTTCGCCCTCCCCCTCCCCCCGGTGGTATTGGAGATGGTCAACTTTGGACCACAAACTGGAACAAATATGGTTTATCAGCAATCACAAAGGCCTGCGACTTTTAACTAAGTAATGAATAAGAAGTTAAAATTATAACTAAATGCAAGCAATGATTATCAGATAAAATTCATAATCATGATTTAATACTAAGTTTTTCCTTAATTTTTATTTATTTATTTTTTTTAATTTCAGCCTTGAAGAAATGAATTTTAGAATAAATGTCAGGGGTACAGTTCATACTGTGAACTAGGTAAAAGTGTAACTCTATTGTATGTAAACAGACACCGGCAGGCCTGATGACCTTTGGGAACACATATGAAGGAATATCTGTCAATGCCAAATTGTGCACCCAAATACTGGTGACGCAATGGTTAATCTGTGACTGTTACCACTGCTGCTAAAATTGAAGTGTATCTGGCAGTCACTGACATTTGCTCAGCACTTGTTGACATTTGTTATCGAACTTTGACAGCACGATCATGCTAAGGAAAGAAATCTGTAGTGGACTACAATAATTTTCTAGTATGTCTAGAAAAAAATCTCCTGAAAAATTAAGAACGGGTGGGTGTTAATTTGAAGGTTTTTTATTTAACCTGGGTTGAATGCCCATCTTCATTTCCCCATGATGAAGTGCTCCAGTCCAAGGTCTTTTGCCAAATCTCCCCCCCCCAGTGGTATTTGCTATAAGGCAGTGGAGATGGTCGACATTGGACCACAAACTGGTCCGAATTTGTGTTATTTTTTATGCCAGAATATTAGCTACTGAAAATGCAAAATGAGTGTTTTGGGGGACTCAGGAAGTTTTACGGCAACAAATCTTCTGTGCTTACATTGCTATTGTGAGTTTGCATTCACAAGACAGAATTCTGACCTAATAAGCAAATTTGTTTCCTTAAAAATCCTCCAAAGCCGCAAATAACAAAAAGAATATGAGGGGAAAAACTTCCATAAATGGATGGACATTACCAACTCTTCCTTCCAATGGCTTATCAGCAATCACAAAGCAAAATCATGACCCAAAAAGTTTGTTTCCAATGTGATACATGTCTTCAAGTTTGCTAAGAAGCTAAGAAGCTGTTAACAAGCTAGGAAGGATTAAGGCTGGGACATAATGATTTTTTAAAGTAGGCAAAGTCATAATTGTGACATATACAGTGTACCTCAAAAGTGTGACTAAGTATTACGTCACATTTATGACATATCTGATAATTATGACTTTCAAGCACATGACACTGACCAATAAATGCAAAGTGTCAGTGCACAGGGCAGCTGGGTATAATAACAATAACATACAGGCCTGCGACTTTTGATTAAGTAATGAATAAGAAGTAAAAGTTAAAATTATAACTAAATGCAAGCAATGATTATCAGATATAATCATGATTCAATACCAAGTATTTCCTTATTTTGTTTTAACTTCAAACCTTTAAAAAATGAATTTTTTAATAAAATACTCCTAGTTTTCAGAGTAAAGAAGTTATTGAACCTTAATACACAGTTATCGCTTTAATCAGCCAGAAAATTTAACTCATGTAAATTGCATTGATTTGTGCTTGTTAAACTGCTTTAAATGTACTGTTTTTCAACCATAAAACACGAACTCTGTCCCATCTTCAGTATGGATTGTGAGTCAAGGGTAATATATGCATATCAGTTAACCTCATTGAATACATCAATACTATTACAAAAAAATGCCACGGGTTATCACAAAGTCTTGCTCTAGAGACCACCAGAACACCCTCTCAATTTTCAACTTATCACCTGGGTATCTTCATGTTTAAAATCTTCTGCCCCTTGAAATTATTGTTTCAGAAAAATACAGAGGTCTATGTTCATAATACAAGGTCAGAATCCATGCTTCACATTGCAAAAGGCACAATCTACTGTATTTCTTAAAACAATTTGACATGAAGTCCCTTTGTCCTGGGATAAATAATTCCAATAGAGCATCTGTATGGTTGGCATCATGCTGGCCAGTGCTTTTGTTCAACACAGTATGCAAAACGGTTTCCGTGAGGAACAAAACTACCCTGCAACATGGCTATTATCCAAAGCCTCCATACTGCAGGGGAAGTTTTTTTTATGTAACTTGGGTAGCTGGTACACGCTGGTCCGTTGAACAGTGCATGTGTATGCACAGGTAGTTGGTATGTCTGTCGCAGGTGTATAACTGTGTGGCATGGCGCACGTGGGGTGTAGTCTTTCATCAGGAGTGCTGTCAGTTGATGTCTCACCAGTAGTGCTGTCCTCGGGTCTTTTCTGTGGTGCTCTGCAGGTGTGCTTGTATGTGTGACTTTGAGAAAGGTGACAGTTGTGTGCCAGAGGCAGGAAGGAATCCAGTCTTTGACTAAAGTTTCAAGTAGACACTTGCTACATACTGGATCTTGCACCTAATCATTAAAGAGGCATTCAGTCCATAAAGCTTCAGCCATGACCCCAAATTCCTTTTGTCTGACTTATTCAATGGGAGAGTCCTTTCCCCTTTGAATGTGTTCGTGAGAGGTGTGCATGTGTACGCATGAGTGTGTACCCCAGAGCCTGGTGGTAGACTGCCCCGCAATGAGTCCGCTCCCCTTGCCTTCTTATCAGGCTGCACGTTGGATTGATGAGGCCTGGCCCTACCCAAGGTACATCCCCTTTTTCTTGTCAACCGAAGGAAGTCCCCTGGTGGACAGCAGCAGAGGCCATTGAAGAATATTTTCCTTTTTGGCGTAACATAGTCTATTTATCCTGTATTTTATTCAGTACACGTCACAATCCTCTTTGTACATTCATATTTGTTAATATTTAAGCAGTTGCATTTGTCTTCATTCCTATGAAGTTATCATATTGCAGTGAGTTTAATATCCTGGTTAATTTTGGAGTCCAGCTGTACCTTCAATTATTTACTTTTTTCTCTCATAATTGCACATACATGCACATGTATATTATTGTGACAAATAAGGAACCAGGCCATATACAAGTGTTTGCTTTCTGGTATCTGGCATTCATCAACCCCTATTCAGTCTCTATGTAACTATGCCTCCTTGTATACATGTACTTATTGTGATGTAAATAAACCAAACAAAACTAAATAAATCTATGGCTGGTGATGTGCCATTCACATCTTCAAGGAGGGTTGGTCACAGAAGAGCCAGTTACGGACGAGGGAATATTTTTCATTTTAGAATTGGCGTGGTGTGATGTGCAGATGAATGCCATTTTCACTTCGCAGGACCAGTGCATTGATTCGGAGCACCGGGACAGACTCATCGACAGACAAGTGGAAGTTGCGAAGGATCATAGCAGATATGATCTTCATCTCATTCATGGCAAAGTGCTGACCGATGCAGTTCCTGGTAAGAAAGGAAGGAAAGCACAACCTGACCATCTACATGTACGCCAGGGCAGAGCTGAGTTTACTGAAGGGCACAATCCTCCGAAATCTCATTTAATTTGAGTATTCACTCTTCCTGGGAAAATCATTTCAATAGCTTAACGTATTGTGGGCAACATCAGTCACAAAAAGGCTGATTAAATCCTAAGTATCAGCTTGTTGATAAAGTGTGAATCATGCCCGTGTACTCAGGCTGTGTTGACTGAGTACTTCAAACAAGTAGAATCATTTATATCTCAGAACACAAATCCTGGTAGGTAAGCACAAAATAGATACGCAAATATATGTATTTCCAAACCCAAAAAACAGCTTCAGTATGAACACAGCCGCATCCTTTAAATAAATAACGCATGAAAAAAATATCCACCAAAACTCAGTTGTTCCCCATTGGCCATTCTACACAATATCAGTCGCAGCTGCCTGGTGAGGCAAATTGTACACGTGAATAAAATTGTAGGAGTAATTCTCAGCAATTCTCGAGGTTCTACTGGGTCCTTACACTGTGTAACAAATGTGGACTCAAATGTTTCACACCCAGGTATGTTATTAAACTGAAAGATTCCTCTGCACAGTCACCTAGTAGTAATCAGACCACACTGTAGGTCTTTTTTAATCTGGCTGCCGGATCACATTTCACTACACACTTGTGAACTCTGAAAAGGATTTGACTAAAATACTTGCTTGAGGTTAACCACTGGCTAATGATACTTTTCTACAATGAACTTACCTGGGTGCTGTATTATTTTAAAAATTTTCAAAACAACAGAAAGATGTGCAACATTTCTTCCAGCACTTATTTTTAATCTACAGAGACTATGCATTTGAGTAATATTTGCTGTAATGCCTTGTCAAAGACAGCACAAAGATGCTTGATAGGGCTCCACACACACTCAACCGCACAGAGACTACTTGGATCCTGCATATGCTAGCCTCCCAAAAAGGAAGTCCTCATAACGAGGGGTTAAAGGACAATGTGTGAACTCACACACGTCCCAACAGGGTTTCCCCCTCTCTGAAAACCAGTTTCAGAGGCTTTTGGGGTCAGGGTTACCCGTAGTAAAATGACAAGGAACAGTTCGGAAATCATCATAAAATATCCAGCTTAAAAGGAGTTGTCATACTGGGAGAAAAAGGACCAAATTCCCTGAGTTTTCAAAACTACAGCAAAATAAAGGAATACCACATCGAAGTGTACGCACAGAAACACTGTTAAACACATGTAAGTGGGGACAAGTACACGTCAGCCGCTAGAGCACAGATTGCAATGGCATGTTTGAATTTCCTGTCAAAAGTGTAACTGGTGCAGGAAATCACGGCTGGTTTACACGCCCTGTGGCGTGAAATGGCTAAGAAAGTGTGTCATTTATGTAACTGGGCACCGTGGACTACCCTTTCTCACCTTGGTCCGGCCGAGAAGGGCACATAGGCAAAGGGAGGAATGTTCTTGGCCCGCTCTGGTGAAAACCTCTCGGGGTCAAAGGTTTCGGGGTCGTCCCACACATGCGGGTTGTTGTGTAGCCCACCGATTGTGACACATACAAAGGTTCCTGAAAGGTCATATTCAGTGGAAACAAACAAAGCTAGATTGATCCATTATTGGTGGTGACACTCAAAATAAGAATACAAACTGAAATTTCAGAAGGCAAGCAAATTACAAGAGAGTTTGAATCTGAGACAACTGTACCCATCTCACGGCAAAAAAATCAATTCCAGGTCCAAAAGCTTTCTCCTAACTTTCCAGGCTCTATAAGTTTCCAGCATGAACCAATAGGCTCATTGGCCCTGTATGTGCATTTAGCTACGACATCAAGCCCATGTGTCTGAAGGTAGCTTCACTGAGGACACTTTCACAATCCTTTACAAATCATATGCAAGACACCTGAAAGCTGGGGTAATTAGAATTCAGGTTAGAGGACATTTTGGTCCCCACATTATGGTTTTACATCGAGCTGCTGACAAAGTGAGATCTATATCACAACATAGAGTCACTTGGAATATTGAAGGAATTCAAACAGGCCTCAACCTTAAGTTTTGGGGAGACAGGACTAGCTGGCGTTGAGTGCCTTAAAAAATCTCAGGGCCATGTTGGAGGGCACTACGGCCAATTCAATATATGTGCATGAAAGATGCACCACAAGAGGGATTTCTGATTAAATAGGCCTACCTTTATATGTACACTTGCACATGTACATGCATGTGCACCACACGAGACTAGTTGACGTGAATTTATGCAAAGGCGTACAAGTTACGTTCTACGCTTTCCATCGACAGTACAGTACGTCATGAGGGCCTATGTCATTTTCAGGAGTGTTGATAATAATACGAGTTACAGAGACTGTTATGTCTTACATGTGAAGAAGGATAACCAAGCATATGAAGCCCAAGATGGCCGTGCACATAAGTTTGTGTGCATGCACTGGGCTAAGTTAAGGAAACTCTTGTTCTCCTGGATCAGCAAATGACAAGGATTTTGCCCTCACTAACAAATCCATAAAGGCACAAAATACAGACGAGACTGAAGGTTTAGCTATATTTGTGCATTGTTCAGTTGGGATATATGCACCATGCATGCTTTACCACTTCACCTCCATTTCCACTGCATCCTGACCACTTCACCCCTAACCACATCACCCATTTGCCACTTTGCCCAATTTTCACTTCACCCTGTTGCCACTTCACCCTTATGTAAACTTTAATATCTTTTGTACTGATTTTAAACAAGGCAAAGGCTGCAAACATCGAATGGTTTGAGTGTCCAGCCAAGTTGAATGTTCCAGTTCAGGCAGTTTGCCAAATAAAATGTGACAGACTGGATCATACTGACTGTCTATAGGCCTACATGGGCATCATGCCTATGTGATGTACATGTACATGTAGGCCAGTGCTGAGTCATAAAGCCAGACAACACATTTATCTTATTCTTCAATGCAGTGAAGTAAGCGATGCTTTTTGCCACAAGGAGTGAAGTTTGTTGAATTGCAAACGCTCAGTTTCATCAAGGTATAGCTATCAAAACTTTCAGGTCACTGTGACTTTTGAGTAGTGTTTTGAGTAATTAGTGGTTATACTGCTTTTGTAGTGTCAGACAAATCTCAGAGTCACACCATGCATGCCTCTCAGGCAATGTTTGCTGTGACTGTCCTATTATTAATAATTAATTTTGTGTTTGACTGCCACACATGAATTTTACGGGGCATTTCCATTTGCCAAGCACTGTACGCACTTGCGCACATTTCATTGGTACAGTACTTTTCAGGTGTCTATTAGAACATTTTACAGATGTATGTCCTTGACACTGTTAGCAGCGTATTTGTTGTGTTTTCAGCGATGTCAGTGTATTCGATTTCCAATACAAAAGCCTTTTATTTCCTACGAGTATACCTGTAGTGGCAGAATCCGCTACATCTGTCCTTATGAGTGTACTCGTAGTTGGCACTTAACATGTTCATTTATGAGTCAAGTCTGTTGGGAAATTGGTTCACAAAGTTTAATAGCTGAACACTGTTAAAAATGCCTCAAAAGAAAGGAATAAACTGATGGAAAAGATGGTGGGATCCATGAAAGACTACAGGGGAAGCTTTGATGAAAGTCAAAGTGAATAATATCATTTCTTTCAGTGGTGCCATTTTATGATCAAATCCAGTGCCACAGTGCAATGGTGTCACCTGTAAGAAAGGCATGATGTTTATGCCAGGTTTTCATTCAGTGATCCGCTGCTTGTCATGAAGTACCGGTACAAAATCTATCCACACTAGTTTACCTGTGAAATCGTCCTCCTTCTGTTGGGATAACTCTTAACTTAAGTTTTCGAATATTATCAAGCAGGGCTGGGACAAAGTGAAAATTGGGCGAAGTGGAAATTGGGCAGAGTGGAAATGGGGCGAAGTGGTTTGGGGTAAAGTGGCATTGGCCAATGTGGAAATAGGGTGATGTGACGAGCATCCGCATGCATTGTGGGTTCAATGTTGCTAACTGGCTCCCGGCCAATCCATTATAGTTCTTGCAATGCAGTAGTGGTAACCAGCTTAAAAGTACTTAACATGCACATGTGTGTCACTGGTGATTTCGATGTACCTTTAGGTCCGGAGAGCTAGGGACAAAACGATCAATCCAGGTAATGCGTGTTGGGAGCTGGACAGCCAGCCACCGCAGTGTGTATGCTTATGTGCATGTACTGCATGAACGAACAGTAGTCTGGTTCCGAGTACCATTAAATTGTGTATTATATAGATATATTGTTGTAGTGAGATGCAGACCAGACTGTTTCAATGTATTTTGACACTGCCGTTCAAAAACTTTGTAGTAGTAACAGCCATGGACATGTTCGACAGATTTCACTCGACACGATGGAAGGGCACAGCCGCCAACTTTGCCACGCAGGAACAAGGTTTTTTTTTAGGGCACTGTGGCCAGTGATCAGGCATAATGGCAACGGCTGCTTGTGGCCATGGTCAAGGTCAAAGCCTGATTTAGATCACAGGTGAAACGGACTATCCCACTGTCAGGATCATTGGTTGCAGTATCTGAGCTGTAGGAAATGCTCAGCAGTGCATGACTTTATCACCTGGATTTGCATATTTGTTTGTCCAATGCATTTGTCAGACCAAAGTGAGGACTTTATTTCTGTGCACCTGTCAACTTGAAAGGTTGGCAAGACAAGGGCAACAGTGCAGACATTTCAAAGTACAATATAGGCAAGACTGTAGGAATGTAACAAACTGTTGGGTGTTGCAGCACCTCCATCCCAACACTCACCTTTCGGCAACTTCCTGCCATCGGGAAAGGTTACAGGTCGGGTCAACGTACGTATAACATTGGGGACGGGAGAATGCACACGCAGGCTCTCCTTCAGACACTTGGTCAGGTAGGGCATATTATTCAGATCATCCCTGGAAAAAAAAACAAAAACAAATACTTCTTTTGAAAAATTAAATAAAATTTTTCTTCATTTCTTCTTTTTCTGCAATTATAAACATTTCATTTTATACAGCTGGTATGATATGCTTCTCTTTTTAATGACGATGGCTGAGGCATCAAAAATGTAATGAAAATGATAAACATGATTACATGTATAAACACAGCTTTGCCATTTGTAATCTGAGAAGTTTCTTGTGCAATGCAATTTGTAGTTTTGTCACGAGTGCTCAGTCACTTAATTTGGAACTAGTTCCTGCCACTAACGGTAAAGTTCTCAGGTACCAAGTTCTGACGAAAAAATGGTGCTGGCTAGTGTAACAACCCTGCTGTCCCACTTGACCTAGCCAGTTGGCAAGAACAAAAGCTTCTTTCTGCTTGAAATTTGTGGGGCAACCATGCAGAAACTGGCTAGTCCAAGAGAGGGTGCTATTACAATTTAATAGTGTCCAGGACAGTTCTTGAAGGTTGGTGGTATTCCTTAAACCCATGCTTGCACGNGTGGTTAATGACGATGGCTGAGGCATCAAAAATGTAATGAAACTGATAAACATGATTACATGTATACACATAGCTTTGCCATTTGTAATCTGAGAAGTTTCTTGTGCAATGCAATTTGTAGTTTTGTCACGAGTGCTCAGTCACGTAATTTGGAACTAGTTCCTGCCACTAACGGTAAAGTTCTCAGGTACCAAGTTCTGACGAAAAAATGGTGCTGGCTAGTGTACCAACCCCCTTGAATATGGCTTTTTATGCACACAATGAATGTTAAATAATAATAATGCATGAATAATTTCATGAGGGGACAGAGTATTCTTTTCCAAGGGGTCAGGCCAAATGGAACTCTCAATTTATCACGGAATGAAATTCTTTCAACTGCATTAAAAACATTCAGGATTTGTTCCATAAAGTCACATTATAACAGTGGCCATTTGATTTTCTCAACCCTGTGTAAACACATGGCCTGACGTTTCAAGCTCCAGGCTCCAAGCCCCATGTAGAAACCAGCTAATCCCAGCAGGGGTGCTAATTAATGCTGTTAAGGTCTGATTTTCTTACGTGTAGGAAGTTCTTTTTAAAAACATGCTTGTATATTCTAAGTTACATTCATGTAAGCAAAAGAAATATGAAAAGGATTGTCCATTTCCCAAGAAGTGTAAGGACTGCCAGGAAGATCACTGCGTAAGTCTATATGAAGTGGTCAAGTTGACACCCAAGAACCAGACCACCTGTCTTTGTTCTGGAGTGGGGTCTATAATGAAGGCAGACTACGACTGTGATTTCATGATAAAAGCTTTACCCCTTAATAATGAAGGAGCCATCCGGGAAACTTGACAACTAATTGTACAGCATTCTTGATGAATGTGCCGAAGGTACCATGATCCTCCCTTAAGCCGTCCAAATCTACGAATTCCAGGCCAGGCTGAAATGAAGCACTCTGAGACAGTGGTTGGAGATGCTGATTGGAAGGACAGGTGTGTCACTTTCACTATTTCTGCCTATTCCTGAGCACAAGTTCCAGATTGAGTGCTCTTTCACTACTGAGGAATTTCAACAAGCTGATTACAGTCTATCAACACAGAAACTGCAAGCAAAGTGGCCACATCTGAGGTAGTTCCCTATATTGAATGTGAACAAAGTACAATCTGCAGTCTTGATTGGGGCCGATCATATAGAGCTGATTCTATCGACTGGTGAGAAAACTTGTCCCAAAACTAGTTTGCCGGTTGCAGTAAAGACTCTATGGATGGACAGTCCAGGGAAGACAGGGACCTTGGCATCTACGCTGTTATGTCATGCTCTTCAACATGAACGTGTCCACTTCGTCGTAGATTTCTTGATCAGTTAGTCCTTGATCATCACTGTCCTTGGGGAGAAAAAAAATTGTGTCCTGCCAACTTGTTTTGTTTCTTACAAAAAGAGCTGTCACATCACATTCGCTACTTGCAGGAACAAGAGGTGGTGTGCTTTTACATAGCAATGATGGTCCTTTCATGGGAGCTCACTGCGTTCACGCACAAGTTTCTTCACATCGTGCACATGCCACACTGAGCATGCACTGCCAATTTCTGTTCTGTTATGTGTATGTGCCCTGCCCAAAAACAAACCTGGTTGGAAAACATGTCTCTTCTATGTCACAGAGGGAGTGCTTCGAGTTGGAACAAATAAAAACACTGACAAGGTAATTGCACTATAATTAAAAAAAAAAAAAAACAACGGCTGTAGAAGGAAATTCCTGTGTCTATCAGCACAGAAACCGCTCTAAGAGGTGTACTTGGAGACCGGATTATCTAGAGGTCGTGCTCCGTACAGTCCTCACCAAAGTTGAAGGGATCCTGTAGTCTAAGCCCCTTGCCTATTCATCTTCAGAGATTGCTGATGTAGACCCAGTTATGCCCAACGTGCTTCTCATGGAGCAGCGAAAGCCTGCACTACCCATTGTTCTCTACGATGAGGCTGCTGTCATATATACTTGAAGCCACAGTCAAGGTAGAACCTTTCTGGTGACAGTTTGTACACTCTTACCTCCCTACTTTGCAGGCTCCCTAGAAGTGGAATCGGGAAATCGGCTACCTCTCCGTTGGAGAAGATATAATGATAGCTGTCCCACTTGACCTAGCCAGTTGGCAAAAACAAAAGCTTCTTTCTGCTTGAAATTTGTGGGGCAACCATGCAGAAACTGGCTAGTCCAAGAGAGGGTGCTATTACAATTTAATAGTGTCCAGGACAGTTCTTGAAGGTTGGTGGTATTCCTTAAACCCATGCTTGCACA